CAACGCCTGTTTACCTTTGGACTGTGCCCATGTTTCATTGCAATGGATGGTGCCTCACTTGGGGTATGGCAGCACAGGGTGGTGCTAATGTATGCCTGAGAAAAGTCTCCCCAAAAGACATATTTGACAGCATTGATCAGCACAAGGTGACACACATGGCAGGAGCACCGACTGTCTTGAGCATGATTGTGAATTCAGCAGTTAGTGACAAAAAACCCCTTCCTCACAAAGTGGAAATTATGACAGGGGGTGCACCACCACCCCCTCAAATCTTTTTCAAGATGGAAAAGTTAGGTTTTGGTGTATCTCATTTGTATGGCCTTACAGAAACTTATGGTCCAGGGACTTATTGCTCATGGAAATCTGAATGGGATTCACTTCCTCTCAACGAGAGATCAAAGATGAAATCTCGACAAGGGGTACAACATCTTGGATTGGAAGATGTTGACGTGAAGGATACTGTCACCATGGAAAGTGTACCAGCAGATGGTAAAACGATTGGAGAGATTATGTTCAGAGGAAACACTGTGATGAGTGGCTACCTAAAAGACTCGAAAGCAACTGAGGATGCTTTCAGAGGCGGCTGGTTTAGAAGTGGGGATCTTGCTGTGAAACATTCTGATGGATATATTGAAGTGAAGGACCGAGCAAAGGATATTGTAATTACTGGTGGAGAGAATGTATGCACACTTGAAGTAGAAACAGTTCTGTATAATCATCCAGCAATTCTCGAGGTCGCAGTTGTTGGGCGGCCAGATGACCTCTGGGGACAAACCCCTTGTGCATTTGTGAAGTTAAGAGAGGGATTTGACGTTGATGCTCAAGATATAATTAAGTTTTGCCAGGATCGTTTGCCACATTATATGGCTCCCAAAACTGTCATTTTTGAGGATTTGCCGAGAAACTCTACTGGAAAAGTGCAGAAGTTTATTCTGAGGGAGAAGGCAAAGGCATTGGGTAGCCTCTTTAGGTCAGAGACACAAACCACCTGCTGATATTAGAAGTTCAGTCAAAAACAGCGAACTGTAAAGCAATTTCATACACAAAGTTTGCAAAATTTATTTCAATCGATAAATACAGCGATGATTGTTTTTATCAAACAGAACTTTCCAGCATTTGGATTGATCTTGAAGACCCGTGTACTCAAAACTAGTTGAATGTGTGATTTTACAGGGGTTTTGCTCATGTTGTGGTTCATGCAGGATGCTCTGCCATTTCGACATGGACGATGTATGGATAGACGATAGAACCACAGTATATATAAGTTCAATCTTCGCCCGTAATTGAAAGCATATGCGTAGATAAAAACTAGTATCTTGAGATTTACTCAAATAAATTCATAGAAGTTTATTTCATTATTCTTTAATAATAACTCCTTATTACAATTCTTTTAGACTACTTATATATTAGTAAAAATTTCTAAAAAAAATAAAAAAATTATAATCTAACTAGTAAAAAAAATTCTAAATTAACTAGGAAAATTAAAAAAAATCCCAAATAGTAAGGATGCTGAAATTTACTCAAATAAATTCGTAAAAGTTTATTTCATTAATCTTTAATAATAACTCCATGTTACAACTCTTCTAGGCTACTTATGTATTAGTAAAAATTTCTAAATAAAGTTGAAAAAATAAAAAAAATATAATCTAACTAGTAAGAAAAAAAATTCTAAATCAATTAAGAAAATAAAAAAAATCCCAAATAGTAACATTTAGCTTGATTTGAAGACCTTTCCGAGCTCCAATAATAATGAAATTTTAACTCTATGAAAAATAGGGTTTTTATAATCTATTATGAAAATTTTAATTTGATGAAATGGTTGGATTAAAGTTATATTTATTTTACTATAGTGCCATTCTTCTATAACTTCTCAAAACCAAGAAAATATTAACAATTAAATAAATGATACAATAAAAATAATTACATAAAAAATACACCAAAAGTAATGAAGAAATTGTCTCACACCTTTCTCTCTACTTGTGAAAAATTTTGCTCTCAATTTAAATGTTAGAGATTAAACTTAACCATGCCAAAGAAATAAATGCTTTGAATGTAGCATTGTCACCGATTTATGGTAACTTGTTTCAAATATCTCAAATTTAATTTCAACAAAGATATATTCATGCGAAATTTCAAGATCTAGACAGAACTTACCGAGATTTAAAGAATTAAAGTCGCATAAAACTATCTTTTGAGAGAATAAAAACCTCAATTGATGTGTATCAAACAACAAAGGTTTGACTACCTGTTAAATTGGTAATTCTAGACTATTGATTCAACATAAATACATTTGGTTTGAATGACACATCAACACTTAATTATTTTTTGATGTTAACTTCATCTTCTTGAGCAATTTCAATAACTTGTTCTAGTTTTTTTAGTTAATTTAACTTTAACATGTTCATGACTTTCAACTATTATTTGAATTTTACATTTACTTTATATTGCAATGATTTTTTATAATATTTAGTGAATTTGGATTGTTCCTTGTAAATGATAATAATTATTATTCTTTTGCTTTTTTCGGAACAAGCTCTATAACTAAAGTAACTAAGAAGCAAAATAAATAACCATCTAGGTGGTGGTCAAGTGGTAAGAATTTGGGACTAAAGGATTTGTTCCCTCTGTGATTTCAGGTTCCCTCTGTGATTTCTGGTTCGAGTTCTTGGTTGCTCATATGATAGCCACTAGAGGCTTATATGGTCGTTAATTTCAGGGCCCGTGGGATTAGTAGTGGTGCGTGTAAGCTGGCCCGGACACCTATATTAATCTAAAAAAAAAAAAGAAGCAAAATAAACTCTATAACTAAAGTAACTAATTCACCTTTAAAATTTTTGGTTACTAGAGCCAGAATATATGAATGAAAACCCTTTTAAAATTTTTTATTTTATCATTAGCCTAAACAATTGGTACCTCCACTTTCTTCTCCTATATCTTATAAACTTTGGGTTTGGTTCCCAGCTAAATGATATAGATATATAACTATTAATCTTATACAAATTATCTCTACATAAGAATATAACTTCTACATTATTATGCTAAAGCTTATTAAATATCAAACTATATACATCCATATCTATCACATGATAATAAATCTCATCCCTATATTTCTCAATAAAAAAGATACTTTATAACATGTGTTTACTCTTATTTCCCACTTTATACGGTTCTAATATGAGATTTTAAATAATTTATTAGCATTATGGTCATCGATAATATTTTTATAACTATTATTATCAATAATCAAATTAAACAAGTTATTTTTTCATAGTGTATTAAATATAAGATTTTAAATAAAAGACATAAACTATACCTTATTAATAGCTATTAATTTAGGCTATATATACTCTCATAAATTAAAAAAAAAAAAGATTTAACTTGCCACCTATAACTTTATAAAATAACTATGACTTTATAAAATAACTATGGTATACCTATAAATGAAGTCTAATAATGTATTCAAATATGGGTTAATGGATGTATCAAAGGTCACTCAGTCATATTTTCTCTTTTTTAATAATTTTTGGCTGAAAGCTCCACTATTTATGGTTTTAATGTTGTTGAGAATATTGTAGTTGTTTTTTAAATAATTTTTTATATTAAAATATATACTAATAATTTTTTTTTATTTTTTTAAAATTATTTTTAACATAAACAAACCAAAATAATTTAAAAATACAAAAAAAATTAATTTAAAATAAAAAAAGCTTTTTAAATTATTTAAAAATATTTTTAAAATACAAAAATAAACAATCTTTGAAAAATTAACATCGTGATAAATACAGAAGTGCTTTCGACAAGAATTAAATTTCAAAATGTTATTACAAACTACAACTGTACTTCTCTGGCATGCTTGCTTATATTAGTAATAAACATTTATACTACAAGTTAAAGATTACACAATATTTTCCATAGAAGCATGCAATACTGCATTGACAGTAGCCAGGTAATATACTAAAAAAGCAAAAATTACTAAGCTTTATGAAAATATTGAAGTTACATGGAATGTTTGAAAGTATTGTATGTAGTTATTATTTTTGAAAATGATTGATTTTTACTTGAAAATATATTAAAATAATATTTTTTTATTTTTAAAAATACAAAAGAATAATTTAAAATTAAAATAAAATTAATTTTTTTTAAATACTTTGAAAATACAACTTTTACTAACAACAACTTGATAATGATCCCAGCACTCTTACAACAACTTTTCACCATTACCTTTTGCATATTCTATCAAACATTTACACCTAACAGCATTAACCTAATAGTCCAACACAATTTAAAATGTAAAAGGTGGACATGAATGGAACTCTGCAGCAAGGAAACAATCACAGTAACAACAATTTGGTTCCACTTCCCAGCATTGCTTAGACATGACATACGGAGACATTGCTGTGCAGAAATGTCACAAGCAACAAACCTTGCCCACAACAGCAGCAAGAAAGGAAGAAGGATGACACTGTGTTTCAATTGGTTTGGTAATCAACATTTATAAGAGAACAACGAACAAACAAAATATCAAAGCTGGACAGCAAATTATAAAATCAAATTTCGGCTGTGAAAGAGATGTATGAGTACATGGCAAATATTGAAAATTGAAATCGGAAATTAGAGCTATGATTGGAGAGAATACAATACGTAATTCAACATAATCAAACATGGAAATCAATGTACATTCCATTCCTAATATAATGAAGCATATAAATCTATACCGAACGACATTGCACCTTTATAAAATCTTCATCTTCAACAGATTACAATATCTTCCCCAAGAACAGCATGCTTTTTATTTATAAAATGAATAACTTTTTTTGAACTTTAAATTGAACAATAAGACAAACACTAAGTTTATTTTTGGAGTAAACAATGACATATTAAAGATGGGTAATTTCCCCTGGTTACCTACACGATCTGGGTTGATGATATGTAGCTCAGGGCCTGCAAATTTTTTTTATGTCCGATCTGGGAAGAATAATCTCACTTTGAGCATTGACAGCAGCCGAAAATAGCAATGGGAGTGTTGCCACAATTAGAAAATATTTATTTAACATTCATTTTCTGTCCTTGAATAATTTCTATAGCTGAAAAAGACACAAATCTTGTCCTTTGATCATTTCATAGCCAACAATATCATAAATAGCCAAGAAAGAAGAAGATACATTATTAGAATAATATGATAAAATCATCGTAGGGTGTGGGATAGTGCGAAGAACATCACTTTATAGGGGTGTTGCTTACACTGTGGCTCGTGCAGGATGCTTTGATACATCAAGACGGACAATGTAGGGATAGAGAAGGGAACCGCAGTGTATATGGTTTCCAATCCTGATCCCACTTGAAATCAATGCCAAACCCGGATCATAGTAATGCTCCGTTGGTTTTCCTTCCAAATCTACGATGAAAACACCACTATTCTTCGACGCATGAATTTCCCCCATGTACTTCGTATAGATTCCAGTCAGCTTCCGAAGAAAAGGATGTTTGAGTGCTAGGTCCAGTGCAACTGTGATTCCCTGTTGTATTTTTGCAGCAACATTATTGGTGTTATAAACAACAGTCATACTATAGAGGTCTCTAAGTGAAGGGAAAAAGAAGATTCATGCAAGTGAAGAATAGCAGTAACGCAATTAAATTACCGAGGATAATGCAATATAGTAATGGCCATGTCCATCATGATGGATGTTATCAGGCAAGCCTGGCAAATTGTCAATGAATGTCTCTAGGCTCCCTTTTTTCTTTCCTTGTATGTGATATTTTCTACACCTTCTCCTGCAATAACCAGTTCAAAAAGGTAAATTATAAGAACTAAATGATAATTCATAGATAGTTGGTGGTGTTGGATAACCTGTAAAATTTATTATCTCAACGTTTTGTTAGCGTATAGCCTTATCCCTTAGCGCAAAACCAAAAAATCCCCTTATGAAAGCCAAACGAAAGAAAGAAATATCAAAGAAGCTAATTTCTCGAAAACTAGCATGCGTGTTTGCAAGAACGTAAATAAGATTACTCGGATCATACATGAATGTTTCACAGAAGACCACATATTGTTGATCTGGTGAGACCGCGACTCCATTAGCAAAGTAGAGGTCATGGGCCAAAACCTTGGTCTCTTTGGTAACTGGATCATAGCTGATTGCTCGACCATATGGCTTACCCTCCAAAAGGTCCCAGAAGAACTCGAGCAGATTGTATTTGTATGAAGCATCTGTAAAATAGATGGTGCCATCTTCTGCTATATCTACAGCATCTGTGAGCTTCAATTTTACACCCTCTGCCTCATCAGCTAGTAGCTCCACTTTACCCTCTCCACTTATCTTTAGCAGTCCCTGTTATACACAACATTATAAATAACAAGCCCGAGCGCGCGGTAATTGACGTAATACCAGTGATACACACAAGACATTAGTAAACTTGTATTAAATACATGAGAAAAAAAATACATTGAAAAATGATCATATATTCAAAGTTGATTTCAAGACAATTAGACTTATAGACATAAGACTAAATATAAAGATAAATAAAGCTAATTTTTCAAAAACAATAATGATCTTGAAAAAAAGGTCGCATTCGCTCAAACTTCTCTGAGGGAGAAGTGATTCCATTCGGAACATATTATATCATTCCTAAGAAGTCTTAGATTCATGTAATTTTATATTATTTTTTTACATTTGACACTCTAATAAACAAAATGTGATTTTTGTTTTCCTTTTTTCCTCTAATTACCTAAAATGAAATCAATTTCATGCCTAACGAGCCTAATCTCTTTGTCCACCACGTTGCTAAATACACTTAGTGATGGCAACAAATTTTTTTTTTAAAAAAAAACAATGAATTTGCGTCAATAAAATTAAAAAAAAAAAAAAACAATGAATTTGCGTCAATAAATTTAACATATGATTTTAATTTTGAGGTTATGAGCCATTTTAATAACGGGTTAACTGTAAAATTCATGAATCAAATCATATACATAACCATAAAGCAAAAAAGTGCTAATTTAGTTGGCTAGTTATCACATTCTTTACCCTTCTAAGCTTTTTTTCTATTTGAGTCTTCATTTTATATTGTTTAAAATGAAATGCGAGATTAAATTCATATCAGCTATTAGAAAATTACAAATTAAATTAAAAAAATTTGACTAGGCTGGGGAGAAATGAAATTCAAAATTCAAAATTCAATCAAAGAATTATTATTGATTAAAACATTAAAACAAAGAATTAGCGCTTAATATAAAGATACCAGCATATGAACCGGACCATCATGATCTAGTGGCACAACCTTCCATCTCCAAAAATAGTAATTCTTTCTGCTATTAGAGTCATATTTATTTTTTTAAAAGTAATTTTTAGAAAATTACTTTTTAAATTTTTTTGTATTCAATCTCCAAAAATAGTAATTCTTTATGCTATTAGAGTCATATTTATTTTTTAAAAAGTAATTTTTAAAAAATTACTTTTTAAATTTTTTTATATTTATTTATTATTAAAAAAATTAATCAACAAAAATTTTTTTTATTAAAAAAAATTTAACTTGGTTTTAAGGAAAGTATTTTCCTAAAAATATGAGTAGAAAACACTTTCTTGAAATTGTGAAAAATTTAGAAATATCATATCATTTACTAATTATATCAAATTTAATTCTCAAACTTTTGATTGCTATACATATTTTGTTTTGAATATTTATTATTTAATTTCATCGCTTAAAATTCAATTTTTATATTAACTTTGGTTCTCATTTTTATAATTACTATTTGCTTTTCTTTTAATATTTTTTTATTAAAATTTTTTATCTATCAAATTTGATCCTCATTCTTTTGATTGTTACTTATTTTATTTGAAATAATTTATAAAATATTAATATTATTATTTTAATTTCTTCCTCTTTTATTTTTTTATTTTTTAGATTTGATTTCTATTATTTTGATTATTATTTATTTTATTTGAGATAATTTATGAAATGTTTTTTTCAATTTCATTCTCATTCAACTTTTTAATTTGTAAGATTTGTTCCTCATTATTTTAATAAACTTGAGAAAAATAAAATATTTATAAGTTATTTTCCAACTCATTTTTCATGCTATAATCAAATATTAGAAAGTGTTTCAATTTATTTTTCATTACACTATCAAACATCAAAAAATAATTCATTTTTACAAAATCACACTATCAAATATGATTATTATTTATTTTATTTGAGATAATTTATGATTTTTTTTCAATTTCATTCTCATTCAACTTTTTAATTTGTAAGATTTGTTCCTCACTATTTTAATAAACTTGAAAAAAATAAAACATTAATAAGTTATTTTCCAACTTATTTTTCATGCAATAACCAAATATTAAAAAGTGTTTTTCAACTTATTTTTCATTACACTATCAAAAATAAAAAAATAATTTATTTTTATAAAATTATACTATTAACTATCAATTTTTTTTTTACTTTTACATAATTAAAATTTTAAAATAAATCATCTTTCATTAAATAAACAAGATCTAGATTTATCTCTATTAAGGTGGTAATCCCAAAAACAGTGCATGGCTAAGAAGGAGCATGTGGCTTTAGCAACTATTTTTTCTAAATAATTTTATTTGCGTAATTGGTTTGTATTACAATTAATTTATATAGTTTTATATTATATATCCTAAATAATTTTTTAAATTTTTTTTAGAAAAAAACAATTACCAAGGATTTTACCAATGGATTCATTTGGTCAATATTTTAAACACTCATCAACAGCTTTACCGACGGTTAGTGTCTGTCGGTAAATCACGATATCACTGACGGATACAAATCTGTTGGTATATTTCAAGCGAGAATCTTTTTTTTTGCGCGCAAATTCCGTCTGTAAAACCATCGGCAAATGATTTTTTTGTTTTGCCGACCGATATAGCAACAGAATGTTGAATCACCGATGAAAGGTAACCCGACGAACATAATCCGTCAATGATGACGTCGATAAAAAAATCACTAATGAACATCTAATCACATATCAATGAAATTTGTCCGTCAGTAAAACTGTAAAATCTTATTGTACTATATCACCAAAGAACTTTATATCACGTAGATCAAACCAAAACCCCAAACCCAAATTTCTATCCAATCAATTCCTAAAAAGAAAAAAAAATGATAATGAAAAAAAAAAAGAACAAACAGGACATGCATAATAAAACATTAAAAGTGTGTTTGATTTGGAAGTGTAGTGATTTTTTATCAAAGATATAATATCTTTTACATATAAACGACACCTTTAAATATTATAAAAACATATCTTTTTCTTTTAAAAAACAAAAATTACTTTTTATTTAAATACCCTCTAATTCAAACACCCTATAAGTTGATGTCGATAAAAAAATCACTAACGAACATCTAATCACACATCAATGGAATTTGTCCGTCAATAAAACTGTAAAATCTTGTTGTGCTATATCACCAAAGAACTTTATATCAAGTAGATCAAACCAAAACACCAAACCTAAATTTCTATCCAATCAATTCCTAAAAAAAAAAAAAATGATAATGAAAAAAAAAAACAAACAGGACATACGTAATAAAACATTAAGAGTATGTTTAGTTTGAAAGTGTGGTGATTTTTTATCAAAATATAATATCTTTTACATATAAACGACATCTTTAAAAATTATAAAAACATATCTTTTTCTTTAAAAAAACAAAAATTACTTCTTATTCAAACACCCTCTAATTCAAACACCCTATAAGTTGACTGATTAACATTACTAACCTTGTAAGCATCGGCTACAATAACTTCATTATCGTGTCCAAGGGCGAGTCCGAGAGGCCTACCTCCAGTGTTAACCCAGCTCTCCACGATAGCGTCAGCAACTGAGTCATTAATCGTGACTCGTTTAACCCACCCATCAGCGCAAGAAGTGTAAATAACACCCGAATTGCTATCATATGCAATATCTTCTGGCCCAATCAACTGCTTGAAACCCACAAGCTCTGATCCTTGAAGCATGTGATCATTCTTCTTCAAAGCCTTCAATGGTGGCTGAGTCAGCTCGTGGATCGGCAAGTGAGCTGGTTCGAATGAGTCAAGTTGGAAAACGAGTGTAGCTACCAAGACAGGAGATAGAACCGTTACAAGAACAGTAAAGAAAGGCCATGAGGTGTTTCTTGATGTGGGTTTCAGAGAAGATGGTGAGCTTGCAGGTGTTGCCATTGGGGGTTGATTCTTTCTTTCTTTTAACCAAAACCACATTATTTCATGAGTTTTTCTCTTAAAAGATCAAAACTTGAGTTGATTCTGTCAATTCAACCCCCATGTGATCCGAGTCAAACTCTTATATGGGCTCTTCTAACGACCACAAAAACAATGAAAAAGGAGCCACGCATCTGCCTTCTTTCCAGAACTGACAGGAGCATTGATGAGATCTGCGATTAAAAAACAAAAACATCTCTTCGTAAAACTCGAAAATTATATACATTCAATTCTAATTTATACTTCCGACAAGTGCATGCGAGCGGGTGTTGACGTACGAGGAAGATGCCTAGTCATCTACCATAAAGCCATCTTATGCAAAAATAATCAATTATATGCATGTGGAGGATGACGTATACGTCATTTATATGATTTTATTGTCAAGTTTTTTTTTTTTATTCAATTTTTTTTAATTTGATTTCTTAATATTTTATTAATCTTAAATTAATCATCATATTTATTTTGATTTTTTTATAAAAAATTATAGTATTCTCAAGTAAATTTTTTATATTATATTAAATCAATACTTGATTTTTACAAGTATTTATTTTTAATAAATACTTGGAAGCGCATAAGCTTGCATTTAGTTTATTTTTATGGATTTTATTTTAATTAAATAAAAATATTTTAAAAAATAAAATAAAAATAATTATAGTACAAAAAAAAACATTGTAAATCTGAGCTTCATTGTAAACATTGTAATCTGTGTTTAATTTTGAGGTAAAATTCACGAATCGGGTCATATGCATAATCACATTGTGCTAATTCGGTTAGCTAATCATCACCTTCTTTACCCTTTCTTAACTTTTCTTCCATTTAAGCCGTCCTTCATCTGACAAGATGAAATCCAAGATTAAATTAATAAGCTATTAGAGAATTAGAGACAAAATAAAATAAAAAATTAATTAGAGTAGGGTAAAATGAAATTCAGGATTGAATTGAAGAATTATTATTAATTAAAAAATTAAAATAAAAAGCGAGAGAAAAAGGGTTGGTGTGTGGTATAAACACACTAGCATGTAATCTAAACCATTATGGTTTGGTGATGTGTGTGATAACATTTAATTTTTTTAAAATTGATCATTTTTATATTGTCAGATTCATATCATTAAAGCTTTCGTCTTGAATCAAAGCATAGTCGAGAAGAAATCTTGAAGTGCCTTAGTGAATATTTTTTTCTCTCTTTTTTTCTCTTCTCTAAAAAAAAAGAAGGGCTTTTCCCGGCCATTTTAATTCTAGTCCCTTTAGTTTTAATTAATTAGAAAACGAGAAATTCCAACTATTTTGCATAAAATCTAGTTTCAACTGACAGCTGGAATTTCTAGTGTTACCGAAGAATCTTATGTCAAGGCATTTAAATCAAAATACCAAACCTAAATTTCATCCCAACTAACTGCTGATGGGCATAATTGAAAAACACAAGAATATGGTTATGAAAAAAAAAAAAAAAGAATAAGTTCAAAGAAGGAAAAAAAAAAAAAAAGCCAAACAGTAACTCGAAAGTAAATTGAACATTTAAAATGCTAGGCGTATTAGTTTCAGTAACTCAAAGTAAATTAAACATTTAAAATGCTAGGCGTATTAGTTTATTTCTTGTTATGGAACATTAAGTTGATTAATTAACGTTACCAAACTTGCAAGCATCGCCTTCAATAACTTCATTATCGTGTCCAAGGTCGAGCCCGAGAGGCCAACCTCCAGTGTTAACCCAGTTCTCCACGATATTGTCAGCAACTGAGTCATTAATCGTGACTCGTTTAACCCACCCATCAGCGCAAGAAGTGTAAATAACACCCGAATTGCTATCATATACAATATCTTCTGGTCCAATCAACTGCTTGAAGCATGTGATCATTCTTCTTCAAAGCCTTCAATGGTGGCGGAGTCAGCTCGTGGATCGGCAAGTGAGCTGGTTCGAACGAGTCAGGTTGGAAAACGAGTGTAGCTACCAAGAGATAGAACCGTTAAAAGAACAGTAAAGAAAGGCCATGGGCCCATGAGGGCTTTCTTGATGTGGGTTTTGGAGAAGATGGTGAGCTTGCAGGTCTAGACTTCGTTGCCATAGCCGAGGGGGGTTGGATAATGTTATCTAGATACAGCAGCAAGCATTTAAATTATGAAACAAGTTGCTTCAAATCAAGGACATTTTAATATCTGATGTCATAAAACAGTTCATTCCGACTTGGCTGTAAGTAAAAATTTGAAATCCTTCGGTGATCGGTTTTTTCCTTCTTCTTTTTTTTTTTAACATGCACTAAAACCACAATTAATATACAAACATATACTAATGCCAATTGAGGTACATCGGACTGTGAAAATTTGATTTCCTATAAATACAGGTATCCCGGAATTATTTATTGTACATGAAGATGCAACGCCCAGAATAGCAACATCCTGGGCCTGTTCTGTTTTTTTTTATGACTCTGTTCGTGTTTACAAGAACTTGAAAAATGCAACGACGACACATAAATAAACTATATAGCAAAAGCTTCGATAAAGCAATCCAATAATCAAGAAATATTTGTTTTGTGCAGGTACAAAAATATCCCATTTGATCGGTGGTATATACCTATATATGGCCATTTTAATATATGATGAATCTCACACTATTTGACTTGTAGTAGTTACATCCTACTTTGAAGGTTTATTCAGGACAAGATCCACATGAAAATTGTAGACCAGGCAGTGAGTGCCAAGGCTGCAACTAAGTATGTCCACAAGAAGAGGACCGAGCACTCTTCTTGTCCCACATTAAACAACTGTGTCATGGTACCTGCACATATGAAGATTATTAGCAATTTTAGCAGCCAAAGCTAGCATCTCCAGATTATATAAAATGCAGTTGAATATCATTGATTACCAATATTCATGGCAGGTGGAAGGGTATACTGAATCATCAGAACATAGTGAAAGAGAGGGTCTGATGGGAGAAAACCAAGATGGCCAGCCGCTTTAACAACCCACATACCAATTGCAGGAAGTATAATGTATCGGACACAAATCACCCCAACAACGATCCATGATTTGATTTTGGATGCGCGCAAGCCTTTTTATGTAGAATACATTATAGAAGCTTATCAGAATGTGTTGCCATTTATGTTGGTTTGGAAATTTCGAACGAGTACTTGAATTTTTTTTTAATTTTTATTACCTTCGGTTAGGTTGCCTCCCAATATGAGAGTTATACAAGGAATGGTTCCATCTCTGCAACAGAGTGTTTTCACTTTTAGATACCTGAAATTGTTGAACTTAAACGGAACAATTGTAAGTCGAAAGATAGAAATTCATACCCAAGTAATTTGATGGAGTCTTGGATCACTCTTAGAGGGGCTTCTGAACCAATTATCAAGTTCCTCAAAAATGCAGTTGCTCCAAAGATGAATCCCAAAATCTGAAGGAGGATGGCCAAAATTAAGCTTGTTAACCATCTGGTGTTTAGCTTTTCTCAATAAAAAAAGTAGGTGAAATGTCGAGGAAACTCACTGCAGCTAGAGTTGGGGGTGCCAGGAGCTCCTCTAAAATCTGATGAAGAAACCCTATTAATTTAGTCCAGGATGATACATTCCCTTTTCCATGTTCTGATTCCTGGGAAACAATCTGAAACCAGAGAGATTCAGAAGTCCAAATATCAGGCCTGTAGATATTAGTGTGTGCATAGGAATATAGAAGGACAGACTATTGTAAAAGTACTAACAGCATGGCTTTCTGTATCTTCAGCAGACTTGGATGACGCGACAACTATTGCACCATTTTCTTCATCTTGTCTTATTAGCAGGTGAGTTTCGTGCCTAGCTTCTAAATCATTGTTGGGTGCTTTTGAGACCTCTACTACTGCTTGAAGTGCTTTTAATTTTGCAGCCGACGTTCGTATTAGATAGAATGTATAAGTCCAGATGAAGAAACCTCCTAGCTGCATTGACAAACCAAAACAAAATGAGATTTTACAGAAAACATATGATTTCCCAATGCTTGGCCTCATGGCATTGTTGAGTTTCAACTCGAAGATTACCGCCATGGAGAAAGAAGCGTATGAGAGTCCAACGGAGGAGCAGATGCTACTGTCACCAAATGGACTTCCGTCCTCATTACAGATTGCAGGGACAATTATGAGCAGAAGATTTCCCAAGTTTCCTATTTTAACAAGCACCAAAAGTGCACAACAATCAGGGTTTCAACAGTCTACGCGCATGAATGCAACAAGTTAAATAGTCCAACAACAACTAACCTGATGAACATGTAGCAATAACAAGGCCCTCTAAGTAAGGCTTTGGTCTCAGTATTTTAACAAGTATCCATCCAAGAGTGCCTCCAATTAAGAATGTGAATCCAATGTTAACAGGCATAAACCACCTGAGGAAACGATCAACCAAAGCAGAGCATGAATCAATTTTCCAGCTAAAAGAATTGCACCAAATTGGTTCCAAGGTGCAGGATTACACCTTTTGGCAGCATGTCAAAAGTGAAGAGCTTAAATTTCTGTTAGCCTACCATGAGATAATGTCTTCGAGAGTAACAGTTTTAGCCAGGCTGGCAAACATGAGAGAGGGTGTGAACACCATGAACACGAGCTACATCGGGAAAAAGAATTTTCGTTGTTGTAGAGGGATCAAAGAGCAACCTTAATAAAAACAATGAAATTCTTGATTCTTACCTTATTTAAGGATCTTCTAGCATCCTTAGGGAGAAGATTCATATATTCAGTTGCCATCAAAGCTCCCAGGAAGCTGATAAGTAGGACTTGTATGATTGGCAAAGATGCCACCTCAAAAAGTGTCCAGAAACCCATCTTCTCTTTTCAACTTCGTTTCAAAAACTTCGCTGGCAAAGGATCAAAGATGTGTAAAATGATTCCTTCTCTCCTATCTTCCTTCTTCTGTTGCAGGATTGTACTTCTGTGCCTGTCTTGCTACTTCTGCCCTTCCTTGTATTTTATATACTATAGATTAAAAAAGGAAGGAAAA